GTCATTACATTAATTGAATTTTTTGCATCCTTCAAGACTTCAATGAATGGTATTCGAGGTGATCTCATGGTTGCAATCCTTATTTATTGCATTATAGATTGTTTTCGATGCGGTTTCGGTATTTCAGGTAAAAATTCCGGTTTTGCAGTTTTCGTTTTTTTTTTCCTTTGCGGTTGTCGTACCCCCCTTACGACAACTCCATGCTGCCCTCCCCTGTAAATACCTTTTATTTAAACCATCAGACAGAGAAGCACAACAATCCGGAACAAATTGTTATGATTTGAAAATTGAAATTGCCCAGGCCACCAGAAATAGGGGGAAAACTCACATTCCCGGGCGGCCAGCTAGAACTACATCCTACGGGTATTGTCAGCGATCTTCAGGGATGGTCTGTTGCTGCTATCAAGAATCGTAAAAACTACTTACCATCGGTCATATTCGCATCATTATTATTAATAACTGAAGGATGGAAATGGATTGAAAATGCTACCTCAAAMATCCCCAGAAGTTAAAAGAACTTATTACTTATTAAAACTATTATTTCGGTTTGTAGACATGGATCCAAAAGTAAAAATGGAGAAAACTGGCGTTTGTATGCATTATTGGTAATTTTGATTTAGGCATACTTATAGTTCCAGCCTGTTTTTTAACTTTGTAAAATATCCCTCCGTTGCATGTGCACCCTGTGATGATATCAAATGTTGTTAAATCCTCCACCAAGGGAATTTAAAAATCCCACAAAGAAGGTTTGTGCAAAAAATCATAAGAATCGTCAAGAGTATTTACATCCTAAAAAGAGGCTAGCGCAAGTGTATTTACTAGATAAGTTTTTTGATAGTTCAGTTTCTTCTTTGTAGCTCAAGGCACAGGAGGACATACCTTTCTTCGTCTAAACAGATGTGATCTAATTGATCTTTTCCCATCGGAATTTGCAAAGAGAAAGGAGCCTTGGGGCATAATCTTAGTAGTTTTTTTTAAATTAATTTTGTTTGAAAAAATATTTCAATGCCATAGAGTAGCTATACTCTAAAAGAAATGTGAGTGGTTGTTTATAATAAAGGTATCATGATCTGTGACTGTTTTCCAGAGCTTAAAGGCAAACACTAGTAAAGCAGAAGAATSAAACATTAAGCTGGTATGTAATGACAATTGATCTAAATTATAATCATTCATATCATTGGCATATTACTGTAGTGTCAACATATTTGTTCACAATAATTGCATCCATGAAAATTGTTACAATTTATTAATTATGCAAAATAGCTCACTCTCATCCTGCTAACTGACACGTAGCTTGTATAATAATAATAAAAATAATTAATAATTTTGCCTTTTATCTTAAGATGCATTCCCCAAGACCTATGACTCCCACCCTATCTGTGACATCGTCTACTGATTGAGTTTGGGCAGAAACTCATAAGGGGATTGAAACGTGTAGCAACAGTACATTTCTTTGGTTCGATGCTCCGGAATATTCAAAACGCCAATAAATCAACTGAAGTCATTTTACAACCATATTTGGAACAATAATATACCTCATTCCATGTCCTTTGGATGGTAATCAGTTGATTTTGTACGATTTTCAGCTCTTTTGAGCATTTTAGCTACATTTTAGAACCATTTAAAACGAGACAACTTTTTGCCGCCGTCTGTCCGCCATTTTGTTTTCATCTCAAACTCAAATGTTTGGCCCAAATATGGTATCAAAATTATGCTAATCATTTTGAATATTCC